CTGTGCAGCCCTTCCCTCCTGCCTTGTTCCCCTCTCCTCCACCCCTCACCCCCTCCCCACCAAGCATCCACTGGTCAGCAGTGTATAGCTGAGTTTGCATTTTCTAAAATTTTACGTACATGGGACCAGACTGTACTGTTTTTAAAAATTGTATTCAGGTGAAATTCACATAACAGAATTAATTAACTGTTATAAAGTGAACAATTAAGTGGCATTTAGTCCATTCACTGTGTTGCGCAGCCACCACCTCTATCTAGTTCCAGAACATTCTTATCACCCCAAAAGGAAGCCCCATACCCATTAGCAGTCACTCTCCCTCCTTCTCCCTCAGCCCCTGGCAACCACTAATCTACTTCCTGTCTCTGTATATTTGCCTGTTCTGGACACTTCATTTCAGTGGAATCAGATACTATGTGACCTTTCGTGTCTGGTTCTCTCACCCAGCATCATGTTTTCAGAGTTCATCCACATCATAGCATATATCAGTGCTTCATTCCTTTTGAGGACTGAGTAATACGCCATTAGGAGCCCTGGTGGCACAGAGGTTAAAGCACTTGGCTGCTAAATGAAAGGTGATCAGTTTGAACCCACTGCGCTGCAGGAGAAAGATGTGGCAGTCTGCTTCCTTAAAGATTTACAGCCTTGGAAACCCTATGGAGCAGTTCTACTCTGCCCTGTAGGGTCGCTATGAGTCGGAATAGACTCGACGGCAATGGGTTTGGTTTCTTTTTTGGTAATACGCCATTGCATGTATATCTGTTGATGAACACTTTAGTTATTTCCACCTTTTGGCAATTGTGATGCTGTGAACATTGGTGTACACACATCTGAGTCTCTTTTCAAGTCTTGGGTACATGTTTCCCATAAAAGGCCAATAGTTAATATTTCAGACTCTGCAGGGCATATGGTCTCAGTTGGAGCTGTTCAACTCTACAGTAGTAGGGAATAGATAATATGTAAATGAATGGGCCTGGCTACATTCGAATAAAACATTATTTATAAAAACAGGTGGTGGGCCTACCACACCCTTCTCCCCTCCTTTTGCCCACCTGTTGCACGATCTCCTCTTCATCCTTCAGAACCCCTCTTAGATGTTACCTGCTCCCCTGAAACCTTTTCCAGCTCTCCAGGATAATCACCCCTCTCGCGCATCGTTTATTGTTGTACTTGATACACTTTCGCGCTGGGCTTTGAGCCAAGGTCTGGTTCGTCTTGTCTGCTTTGCCGTCCTGGCTGATGCACAGTGGGCCTGCACACGTGACCCCTGCCATATTTATGCTTCTTGCTAGGTAACGCCAAACGAGTTGCACGAGCATCAGCTGCCTTTTCTTTTTTTCCCTACAACCTCTTCAGAAGCACATGCATCTTTTTTTGTTGTTGCTGTTGAGAATATACACAGCAAAACACACACCAATTCAGTCATTTCTACGTGTACAATTCAGTGACGTTGGATACATTGTTCAAGTTGTGCAGCCATTCTCACCCTCCTTTTCTGAGTTGTTCATCCCTCATTAACATAAACTCACTGACCCTTAAGCTTCCTATCTGACCTTTCGAGTTGCTGTTGTCAAATGGATCCCATATAGGTAGTTCTTAAGAGTATAATGTTCAAGGCAGATATTGTTTACTAGTTAAGCTAAACTATTGTTTGGTTTAAAGAAGACTTCAGGAAATATTTTTGGTTTAAGGTTTAAAGATTATCTCAGGGCAGTAGTTTCAAGGGCTCATCCAGACTGGCTCTTTTTTTAATAAACTTTTTTGTTGACAATGATTTTAGATTTTCTGGAAAATTGGTACAGAGAAGGAGAGTTGCAAAGACAGAGAGTTCCTGTCTACCCGACACCCCACTTCCCCTAACAGTTCCCCACCTTTCCACAGTGCATTTGTCCCAACTGAGAAGTGATGCTGGCTCGTTTCTGTTGACTACTCTCTGGACTTTTTTCAGATTTCACCACTTTTTCCATCATGTCCCCTTCCTGGTCCAGGACCCCGTCACATTTAGCTGGCCCAGTTCCCCGGTCTCCGGCCCCTCGGTCTTTCCTTGTCAGTGACAGTGTTGGCCGTCACAAGGAGGATGGGCTGGGGATCCTGCAGAAGCCCACCCACCTCATCAGGATGTGTTTCCCACAAGTAGATGGGGTGGTGGGTTTCAGCAGCAGACCTTTGAATGATTCTGTCAAGGGTCTCAGCAGTTCTTCTTGACCCAGTCCCCTTCCCTGGGGTTCTCAGCGATTCTCCCGACCCCGCCCTCCTCCCTGGGGGTCTTGGTGGTTCTCCCAACCTAGCCCTCCACTCCAGGGGTTTTGATGAGTCTCCCGACCTGGCCTTCCTACTTGGGGGTCTCAGGGGTTCCTCTCAACCTGGCCTTCTTCCCCAGGGGTCTTAGCAGTTCCCCCAAGCTGGCCCTCCTCCCTGGAGGTCTCGGTGGTTCTCACCACTCCAGTCCTCCCCCCAGGGGTCTCAGGTTCTCCCTGACACAGTCCTCCTCTGGCGTCTCGGGACTCCTAGTCTCAGGGCAAGATTTGGTCTGGCTGGCAATACTAGGACCATCAGAGCCATGACCTGTGGGTCAAAGATCCCATTTAAGGGCTGGAGGCTCTTTTGCCCTCCCTAGGAGCCTTGGCTGGTCATGTCTGACCTCAGGGCAGTGTCCGGTCAGGGCAGGGGCTTCCAGCTAGGGGTCCAGTGCCCACAGGACCCACAGTCTTCCTGGGGGCTGGCGTCAGGGTCACCCCTTGTCTAAGTCTCCTAGTGCTGCTGTAACAGAAATCCCACCAATGGGTAGCTTTAAAGAACAGATGTTTATTGTCTCACCATCCTGGAGGCTAGAAGTATGAATTCAGGATATGGCTGTAGCGGGGAGTCCTTCCTTGTCTATTTCAGCTTCTAGTAGCTGCTGGCATTCCTTGGCTCCTTGGTGATCTTCACGTGGTATCTGTCTTCCCCCCTTTGTACTTGCGTGTATCTGTGTCTAATCTGTTTTTTATAATTCAGAAGTGATGAGGTTTAGGACCCACCCTATACTGATACGGCCTCAGTAACATCACAAAGAAAGCCTTATTTCCCAATAGCATTGTATCCACAATGTCTTACTCTCCTGAAGTTGCTGTAACACAGATACCACAAGTGGCTGGCTTTAACAAAGAGAAATTTATTTTCTCACAGTTAGGAGGCTAGAAGCCTGAATTCAGGGTACCGGCTCTAGGGGAAGGCTCTCTTGCCATCAACTCTGGGGGAAGATCTTTGTCTTAGCTTCCGTAGCCCTGGCTTCCTCAGTTCCTTGTCAATCTCCGCGTGGCAGGTATCTTCCCCTCCATTGGTACTTGCTTCTCTGTGCCTAATTTGCTCTTTTTATACAGGCAATCCCCAGATTACAAATGTCCAATTTATGTACAACCTGTAGTTATGAACCAACCCCTGTAAAGCCTATTATTTTAAAAATTTGAGGCATATACATTGATAACAAATGACACTGCTTTGCAACGCACATCAAACCATTGTTATTATTACTGTATTATTATGTTAAACATGTTTTAGTGTATCTGGAAGTGTTTCTTTAATGTTTTTATGCATTGAAAGGTACACTATGTACTATACACTAAGACAAAACGTTTGACTAACTGGCATTAGATACAAACTGTACCTAACTATTCCGATTTATGTACATATTCAACTTAAAGACAGATTTAGGGATGGAATTGGTTCATAATACTTAGTTCATAATCCAGGGGCTGCCTGTATCTCAGAAGCGATTGGTTTAAGATGCAGTCTGCGTGGATAATGGTCTTATTAGCATAACAAATAAAACCCTATTTCCAAACAGAATTGTATTCACAGATATCGAAACCAAACCCTCTGCTATCAAGTTGATTTCAGCTCATGGCAACCCCATGTGTTACAGAGTAGAACTGACTCTGTAGGGTTTTCTTGGCTACCATCTTTACAGAAGCAGATTGCCAGGCCTTTTTTCCACAGCACCACTGGGTGGGTTTGAACTGCCAGCCTTTAGGTTAGTACCCGTTGCTGTCAAGTCAGTCTGACTTATGGTGACTCCTTGTATTACAGAGTAGAACTGTCTTCTTAGGGTTTTCTTGGCTGTAATCTTTACGAGAGCAGGTTTCCAGGCCTTTCGTCCGCAGTGCTGCTGGGTGGGTTCAAACTGCCAACCTTTCGGTTAGTAGTCGGGAGCAAACCATTTGTTCTGCCCCAGGACCTTCCACAGGTATACTGGTTGCCGTCGAGTCAGTTCCTACTCATAACAACCCTTTAGGACAGAGTAGAGCTACCCCCATAGCGTTTCCAAGGAGTGGCTGCTGGATTCAAACTGCTAACTGTTTGGTTAGCAGCTGAGCTCTTAATCACTGTACCACCAGGGCTCTGGTTCCACAGGTATAGGGATTAAGATTCCTACACGTGTTTTGTGGAGACATAATGCAATCTACAACACACAGGCCTAGGGGTTAGGATTCCTACACGTATTTTGGGGGACACAGTTCAATCCACAACACACAAGTATAGGGGTTAAGATGCCTACATATATTTTGTTGTTGTTAGTTACCATGGATTAGATTCTGACTCATGGCAACCCGTGTTACAGAGTGGAACTGCCTACAAGATTTTCCATGAGTCAGAATCGAATCGACAGCACACAGTAACGACAGTGTTTATGGAAGCAGGTCGCCAGGCCTTTCTTCCACAGTGCTACCGAGTGGGTTCAAACTGCCAGCCTTTAGGTTAGCAGCTGAGTACAAACCATTTGCTCCATCCCAGAATCTTCCATGGAATTCTACCCCTATTTGGGGGGACACAGTTCAATGCTCAGCACGCAAGCATTGGGGTTAGGATTCCTACACATATTTTGAGGGAATACAATTCAGTCCACAACATACAGGTATAGGGGTTAGGATTTACAACATATATTTTGGGGGGACACAGTTCAATACACAGCACCCCGCTCTCTGCAGCCCTAACCGTGTCCCCCCTCCCTTGCAGATCCCGCGGACGCTCACCCTGAGCCCTGAGGCATGCGGAGCCCGGGCCGGCGGCGGCAGCAGCAGCAGGATGAGTGCCAGCGAGGCGGGCAGCCGGGCCAGCCCCGAGCAGGCAGCCTACCACCTGCACATCTACCCGCAGCTGTCTGCCGAGAGCCAGGCCTCCTGCCGCGTGACAGCCACCAAGGATACCACCACGTCCGACGTCATCCGCGATGCCATCGCCATCTTGCGCCTGGACGGCTCCAAGCGCTACGTACTGGTGGAGGTGAAGGAGTCGGGTGGCGAGGAGTGGGTGCTGGATGCCAATGACTCACCTGTGCACCGTGTACTGCTGTGGCCACGCCGCGCCCAGGATGAGCACCCGCGCTGTGATGGCTACTACTTCCTGCTGCAGGAGCGCAATGCTGACGGCACCATCAAGTACCTGCACATGCAGCTGGTGGCACAGACGGCAGCTGCCCGGCGCCTGGCACAGCGCGGCTTCCTGCCCTGGCAGCAGGCCGACTTTGACGACCTGTGCGACCTGCCTGAGCTGACCGAGGCTAACCTGCTGCGCAACCTCAAGCGGCGCTTCCTGCAGCAGAAGATCTACACCTACGCCGGCAGCATCCTCGTGGCCATCAACCCCTTTAAGTTCCTGCCCATCTACAACCCCAAGTACGTGAAGATGTACGAGAACCAGCAGCTAGGCCGGCTGGAGCCCCACATCTTCGCTATCGCTGATGCGGCCTACCATGCCATGCTGCGCAAGCACCTCAACCAGTGCATCGTCATCTCGGGCGAGAGCGGCTCGGGCAAGACGCAGAGCACCAACTTCCTCATCCACTGCCTCACCGCGCTCAGCCAGAAGGGCTACGCCTGCGGCGTTGAGCGCACCATCCTGGGTGCTGGGCCTGTGCTTGAGGTAACGGGACATTGGGGGACTGCAGACACCCAAGGGGTAAAAGGAGAAGGGGGAGCGTTCGGGCCGAGCAAATCGAGGAGCACTGTGTAGGGGGGTGGAAGAAAATGGACAAGGCGTAGGGCAGTGTTAGGGGTAAATTAATAATTTCTTTTAAAACGATCAACAGAAAGCTGGTTCCTATAAGGCAGAGGTTAAAGACGTCCCAAATGTCCAACTCTTCCAAGCTGCTGTACTCCATCATCTGTAACATCAACTACTCCCTCTCCCCTCAGTACTGTCCCTCCCGTCTTTGGGTCCCATAATTCACTGCAACATCTCACAGAACTCACCAACTGTACTTAGAGTTAAGGTTTATTAGGGAAGTAACAGGGTACAACTTGGGATTAGTATCAATTTGGAAGTAACAAGAATAACTCAGGATGCAGTTCTTCGATTGGGACAGCTTCTGTTCATCTTCTGCTGCCGGGCCCTGCTGGGGGCCTTATCGGGCAAATGTTACAACTCTTAGCTCCATGGGTCAGCAAACCCCACCGTAGCTGTCTTGCACCAGTCTCCTGGTTCCTGCCATCTTGCACCATCACTCTTGCTACCACTGCGCCTCCGTCTCTCGCTGTTCTCCATGTTACAGCTCCGTCTCTCTCTCCATGTCTCCCTTTAAGCCTAGTAGGATGGCAAAACTGACCAATCCCTTTGTTAGGGTTCCATACACCTTATTTGCATGGTCCCATCCCCATAAGAATGCCATGCATCTTATTTACGTTATTAACAAGCTATCCAATCTTCTTGGTAGGCCACAAGTACCTCATTTGCCAAGTCCCACACAGTCATTTGGTGGAAGTCACAAAGACTGTGGGTAAAAGGGCCATATTAAGCAATTCACTGCACTGCAGGGGGCTAGAGGGGCAATAGACAGGTGGGAGTGGGCCTGCAGATGGTTGTCATTTGGATGGGGCTGCCCAGGAGGGGTCATGGATTCCGTAGAGGCAGCGGGGGAGAAACTCCCCAGCATCCCGAGCTCTCCAGCTCATGTCCCCATTGGCAAAATTCCATAAGTTCTGTGGCTGTGTCTTTGTGGGTGGGCCTTCTGGATGTGGGTCTGGAAGAGACCGCTCAGCATCCCTTACTGAGTGGATGTGTTAGGCCAGGGTGTGTTGCATGTTTGAGAACAGCATGGTATACTGTCACCTGGTGAGGGCTGCAGGTGTTGTGTTGGCCCAACCCCGTGGGAGCCATCGGTGTATCTTTGTGGGTGAGCCTTCTGGATGTGGGGCTGAAAGAGTCTGCACAGCAGCTCTCACTCATAGGTTTTAGGACAAGATTGATTGCATATTTGAGAATAGCACTGTGTGCCATCACTGGATGAGGGCCAGGGGTGATGTGCTTGTTCAGGGGTCTGCGACTCTGGGTTTGTGGTCCCAGTCTCACACTCTGCTTTTTTTTTTTTTTTTTTAAAAAAAAAAAGCAAAAACCTCCCCAGATGGTCTGAGACCCTCAGCAGAGTGGGTAAGGTGGATGTGGAGTGGCACACCACTCCCTGACCACCTTGACCCCCAACTACCTGCCCTTATCCCTGGGTTCAGGACTATGTAGCCGCCTCAGAGGGCTGCCATAGGAGTTCACTGAAGCTATGTCCAGGCAGCTGGTATACCTGCTGTATACTTTTCTATTTCTCTGCATCTCTGAAGTCATCATCAAGAAATTAATGAGGAATGTAGAACTTGGCCCTGTGCCAAGATTTGGAGCCTATTTTTCTCTTCTATATGTCGTTGTTGTTAGCTGCCATCAAGTCGGCCCCCAACTCACGGCGACCCTATGCACAATGTTACAAGGTGCTGTCTGGTCCTGCACCATCCTCATGATTAGTTGCAGATCAGACCGTTGCGATCCATGAGGTTTTCATTGTCTGGTTTTCAGAAGTTGATCGTCAGGCCTTTCTTCTTCATCTGTCTTAGTCTGTAAGCTCCACTGAAACCTGTTCAGCATCACAGCAACACACAATCCTCCACTTAAAGACGGGTGGCTGTGCATGAGGTGCACTGGCTGGGAATTGAACCCAGGTATCACAAGCGGAGAGGAGCCCTGGCGGCTCAGTGGTGAGGGGCTTGGCTGCTAACCAAAAGGTCAGCGGTTTGAACCTACCAGTGGCTTTGCAGGAGAAAGATGTGGCTGCCTGCTTCTGTAAAGATCACAGCCTTGGAAACCCTGTGGGGCAGTTCTCTGTTCTACAGGGTCTCTGTGAGTTGGAGTTGAGTCGACAACAACGGATTTGTTTTTTGGTTTTTTTTTCATTTGTTTGTTACCACAAATCGGGTGACTTATAAGAACAGATGAGGTCTCCATGAATCAGAGTCAACTCAGTGGCCCCTGGTTATAAGAACAGAAATTTACTCTCAGTTCTAGAGGCCAAAAGTCCAAAATCAAGGTGTCGGTAGGGACGTACTTTCCCGGAGTAGGCTCTAGAGGATGATCCTTGTGTCTCCCATCTTCTGGTGGCTCCAGGCGTTCCTGGGCTTGTGGCTACATCACTCTAGTCTCTGTCTCCGTCGTCACATGGCTTCCTCTTCTGTGTCTGTGTCTTTTCCTATTCTCTCTTATAAGAACACTTGTCATTGGGTTTAGGGCTCAGTCATGTCCAGTGATCCCAGAATGATGTCATCTAAAGATCTTCAACTTGATCACACCTGCAGAGACCCTTTTTTCTTTTTTTTTTCCTTTCTTTTTTATTGATGTAATTAAATGAAGTTTACATTTCAAGTTAGTCTCCCATACAGAATTTTTTTTTTTAACATACATTGTTATGAGACCCCAGCCGCTCACCCAATTCTGCAACAGCACACTCCTCCCCTCTGCCCCTGATTCCCCATGAACATTCAACCAGCTCCTAACCCTCTCTGCCTTCCCCTCTCACCTCTGGACACAAGCCGCCCCTTTGGTCTCTTATATCTTCTTGTCTAAGAGGCACATTCTTCGTGAGTATCACTTTACATCCCACAGGCCAGTCCATTCCCTGTCTGAAGAGTTGGCCTCGGAAATTGTTTTAGTTCTGCAATGATGGAGAGACCAGGGGCCATGCCTTCCGGGGTTCCTACAGTCTTAGACCATTAAGTCTGGTCTTCTTACTAGTATTTGAGTTCTGCATCCCATCGTTCTACTGCTCCATCAGGGACCCTCTGTTGTGTTCCCTGTCAGGACGTTCATTGGTGGTGGCTGGGCACCATCTAGTTCTTCTGGTCTCAGGCTGATGAAGTCTCTGGTTTATGTGGCCCATTCTGTCTCTTGGACCAATACTTTCCTTGTGTCTTTGGTGTTCTTCGTTCTCCTTTACTCCAAGTGGTTGGGACCAATTGATGCATCTTAGATGGCCGCTTGCAAGCTTTTAAGACCCCAAACGCCACTCACCAAAGTAGAATGCAGAACATTTTCTTAATAAGGTTTGTTATGCCAATTGACATAGATGTCCCCTGAAAGCTTGGTCCCCAGACCCCGCATCCCTGCTTCTCTGTCTCTCAAAGTATTTGATTGTATTGAGGAAACTTCTTAGCTTTGGTTTAGTCCAGTTGTGCTGGCTTCCCCTGTAGTGTGTGCCATCCTTCCCTTCACCTAAGATCATTCTTATCTACTAACTAGTTAGTGAATAACCGTCACCCTCCCTCCCTACCTGCGTAGCCATCAAAGAATGTTTTCTTCTGTGTTTAAACCTTTTCTTGAGTTCTTATAATAGTGGTCTTATACAGTATTTGTCCTTCTGTGCCTGACTAAATTCACTCAGCATAATAAGTTCTAGCTTCCACCAAGTTACACGATGTTTCACAGCTTCGTCATTGTTCTTTATCATTGCATAATATTCCATTGTGTGGATATACCATAGTTTGTTTATCCATTCATCCATCGATGGGCACTTAGGTTGCTTCCATCCTTTGGCTATTGTGAACAGTGCTGCGATGAACATGGGTGTGCATGTATCTGTTTGTGTGACGGCTCTTGTTTCTCTAGGATATATTCCAAGGAGCGGGATAGCTGGATCGTATGGTGCTTCTATTTCTAGCTTTTTAAGGAAGCACCAAATCGATTTCCAAAGTGGTTGTACCATTTTACATTCTCACCAACAGTGTATACGTGTTCCAGTCTCTCCACAACCTCTCCAGCATTTGTCATTTTGTGTTTTATGGATTAATGATAGCCTTGTTGGGATGAGATGCTATCTCATAGTAGTTTTGATCTGCATTTCTATGATGGCTAATGATCGTGCGCATTTCTTCATGTGTCTGTTAGCTGCCTGAATATCTTCTTTGGTGAAGTGCCTGTTCATATCCTCTGCCCATTTTTTAATTGGATTATTTGTCTTTTTACTGTTGAGGTTTTGGAGTATCTTGTAGATTTTAGAGATTAAACACTGATCAGATTTGTCGTAGCCAAAAATTTTTTCCCAGTTGGTAGGTTGTCTTTTCACTCTTTTGGTGAAGTCTTTGGATGAGCATAAGTGTTTGATTTTTAGGAGCTCCCTTTATCTAGTCTCTCTTCTGGTGCTTGTGCATTGTTCCTTAGGGTTTGTTTTGTGTTTATGCCATGTATTAGGGCTCCTGGCGTTGTCCCTGTTTTTCTTCCATGATCTTTATCATTCTCGATTTTATATTTAAGTCTTTGATCCATTTTGAGTTAGTTTTTGTACATGGTGTGAGATATGGGTCTTGTTTCAGTTTTTTGCATATAGATATCCAATTATGCCAGCACCATTAAAGAGACTGTCTTTTCCCCAATTAATGGATTTTGGGCCTTTGTCAAATATTAGTTGCTCATAGGTGGATGAACTTATATCTGGATTCTCAACTCTGTTCCATTGGTTTATGTATCTGTTATTGTACCAGTACCAGGCTGTCTTGACTACCGT